AAATTACTTATTTTAGAATCAAAATAATAAAACCCTCTTTTGACATTTTGAAACCCCAAGTCCCAAAATTTCCCAACTTCAACATTTTATCAAAACAACAAAAAATCTATGTCAAAGACAATAAGAGTGAGTAGGAATCCCTACTTCAATTTCGGAGCCCAAGAGGAGAAGATGATGAAAACCAAAATGCTCCAAACTCCTAGACCCACAGATCAAAACGAAGCCCTTGACGATCAACACCACTTTTACAAAGGGCAAAGGGAAGGTAAGCACTCTAACTAGATCAAACCCTAGAGAGAAGGGAGTTTCTAGAGAGAGAGGCTCTCAAAATATCTTTTAGAAAGTAAGAGATAGAGAGAGGAAGTGTAGAAAGTGATTCAAAAGTGCCCAGCTGCCCTCTGTTATACGACATTCCCGCTCGAGCAAAAGACACAACGCTCGAGCGTCAAGCACGAAAATTTGGACACACTCGAGCGCAAGAAGGCCCGCTCGAGCACCAAGACATAGGAATAAAGTACACCCGCTCGAGCGAGAAAACCAGTCCGCTCGAGCGCAAATCTCCCTCTCCCAGAACCCTCACCAAGACAGTACTACCCGCTCGAGCGCCAACATTCCCGCTCAAGCGCAACCCGCTCGAGTGCAGAAAAACCCGCTTGAGCGTAGAAAACACCTCTGCAGAAGTTTTGTAGAGACACGAAATACTAGGAGTGTGCAATCTCCGCTCGAGCGCCAGAACACCCGCTCAAGAGCTAAACTAGAAACCAAAATCCGCTCGATCGCAGAATGACCCGCTCGAGCGTAACACCAAAAACCTGGGCAACAAGGATAGAGACCAAGGCTTAACCCACCTGTCCAACACAGGCCCAAAGCATCCTAAAACTCAATCAAGTGGAATTAAAGGACATAACAAGATAGACACCACTACCAACTTCACGAAACCGAGTCCAGAATACAACAGAACAGTAAAGGGATAACCGGGATCGCTATAATCTCCTCGCCTGTAAGATGACATAGAATCATCAACCACATCTAATGATTCAACTTCTGGAAAAACTTTTGTAAAGCCATGATGCTCTATACAAAAATCATTGAACTCATCATCCTTTTCACAAGAATATTGTTTTTGAGGTGGTTCTAGCACAACTGACCATCTCGGATCAAGTTGATCTTGTACATAAAAAACTTGCTTAGCTTGGGAAGCCAAAATGAAGGGATCGTCTTTATGGCCTATCCTCCCTAACACAACTAATGTGAAACCCAACTCATCCACTCTAATTCCCTTTGTGTTGTCAACCCAATCACACTTAAATACCGAAATCTTGAACATATTGTAGTCAAGTTGCCATATCACAATAATAACTCCATAGTAACTCATATCAGTAAACACTGGGTTCTTATCCTTGTAACCTGCTACATGCATTGTTGTTGCCACTAAACTAACTCCACTGTTTTGGCTAACTCATGAGTTATCCCAATCTTTTGTGTGATAACGACAACCATTGATGATATAGCCAGAGAATTTTATAACATCCAATCGAGGTCCTTGTGCTATCCACTTCAGGTTATTTGAGATATTATTTTGGCCGCTTAATTCCTTTGAGACCTGTATATGGTTGAATAGTTAGGTAGCTTTTTCTTAATAATATTTGCTATTAGAAAAAGATAAATGTTGAATTACCCCAATACCTTTTTCACGAAGTCAATACATAAATGTTTTATTATGCTCAATTTGTAGCCATTTTTGACTTTGTGATTGACGATGATATTTTAGCTTCAACCAAATCATATGCTCCCGATCAAATCATCAATAAAGCAATATATTATGAGATAAATCTCTAACTTGTGAGAATACAATTATACAAAAATGTACATGAAATATTCTTACTCAATGTATGGTTGAATGTCACTTGTATTTTCTAACACATAACGATGTGCTTGCTCCCATTCATTACGATCAACAATAACAACATAACCACTTGATAAAGGCCTTCCAATTTCTATATCATCATCAACTATCATGTTCCTATTAGAAAGAATCCCGATTGCATCCACTCCTGATAAGTACTCTGCACAAAACTCAACAGCTTCTTCTACAATGTAACTTTCAGCAATGCAACCTTCAGGACAATTACGATTACGAACATAACCCTTTAAGATCTTCATGAACCTCTCAAATTGGTACATCCATCTAAAGTGAACTGGTCCACAAAGTCGAACTTCTCTAACAAGATGCACTGTCAAATGCACCATGATATCAAAGAACGAAGGTGGCAAGTACTTTTCAAGCAAACACAATGTGACCACAAGCTCTTTTTGAATCTCATCTAATTTTCCCACATCCACTACTTTGCTACAAATAGCATTAAAAAAGAAACATAACCTGATAATGGCATGTCTCACATGCTTAGGTAACACAGATCGTATTGTCACAGGTAGTAACTGTTGCATCAATACATGACAATCATGTGATTCTAGACCATAAAGTTTCAAATCTTGCATTGATACACGACTTTCCAAATTTGAAGAGTATCCTTCTGGAACCTTCAATTCCAATAATGTTGTACATACTCTTCTTTTCTCCTCCTTTGACAATGTGTAACATGCTGGAGGCAAGTATGTTTGCTTCTCCCCAATTTGTGGTGCCAATTCTTCACACAAACCCATTTCTACAGGATCAAGGGGAAAATTAATTCCATCCTTCATTTTTCCTGGAATATTAAGTAACGTACCAATGAGGCTCTCACACACATTCTTCTCAATATGCATAACATCCAAATTATGTCGAACATGTAAGTACTTCCAATATTCATGATCAAAGAATAATGATTTCTTCTTCCAACATTTTGTACCACCAACCTGTAATGCTTTTTTATTTTTCTTTCCCCATATGGTTACAAGCCCTTCAACCTTATTTAATATCTCCTCCCTAGTTAATGGTTTTGGGGTTAATCCAAACTCTTGCTCACCATTAAAAGCCTTTTTTTGCCTCCGATATGGATGATAGCGTGGAAGAAATTTTCCGTGGCCAACATATGTGTTCTTCTTACCATATTTTAATCTGTGAGAACATGTTCCTTCACTGCAAATTGGACATGCATAATATCCCTTTACAGTACAAGCACTCAAATTACCTAATGCTGGAAAGTCGTTAATTGTCCACAACAATATAGCCTTCAGCCTGAAGTGTTCTTTATAAGCGTCATAAGCTTCAATACCTACCTCCCACAACATTTTCAAATCATCAATTAGTGGTGCCAAGTAAACATCAATGTCATTACCAAGTTGTTGTGGACCTGATATTAACAATGATAACATCATAAATTTCCTCTTCATACATAACCACGGTGGAAGATTGTATGTAATCATTATAACTGGCCAACAACTATACCTGCTGCTAAGGGAACTGTGTGGATTTATTCCATCTGCAGAAATAGCTGATCGAAGGTTTCTTGGCTCTGTAGCGAAATCTAGCCACTTGTGCTCTACTAACTTCCATGATGGAGAATCCGCTGGGTGACACATTGTTCCATCATAATCTCTTTCGTGAGCATGCCATGTCGAATCCTTCGTTATTTTTGCTGATTGGAACATCCTTCGAAACCTTGGGATAGGTGGAAAATACCATAAAGCTTTTGCAGGCACATCCTTTCTTATTTCAGTGGAATTCTTCTTCAACTTCCATCTGGATGTACCACATGTAGGACATGAAGTTGCATCTTTGTACTCCTTTCTATAGAGTATGCAATCATATGGACATGCATGTATTTTCTCATATCCCATTCCCAATGCAGCAAACGTCTTCCCAGCCTTATACATGGATGATGGTATTTCATTGTTCAGTGGCAGCTTATCACCCAACAACATCAGTAGGTCTGAAAACCCAGTGTGAGATAGGCTATTCGTAGTTTTGAAGTTATACAGTTTAACCAATGCAGATAACTTGGTAAACTTTGTGCAGCCCGGATACAATGTTTTTTCGGCATCTTCAAGTAATTTCTTAAACACTTCAGGATCAGCCGTGCAATGATCGTATGCATCTTGAACCATTTCTATTGTTTCAGCTACATTGTTTGTGTGAGACGGGTCAAATTGTTGTTGGGAAAAATCTTGTTCATTTAAACATTGTGATGTCCCACTAGTGACTGCTTCTCCATGCCATATCCATGTGGTATAACTTTGGTCAACACCATTGAAAAAGAGATGATTTCTAATCTCTCGAATAGGTTGGCTTCTCAAGTTTCCATAGACTCTACAAGGACAACGTATGGATTGAAGATCACTTGCACGGATCATAGCAAAATTAAGAAATTGTTCAACTCCATTCTCATAGTCTTTTGATCTTCTATCCTTGAACATCCAAGATTTGTCCATTTTAAATGTATTTTTGAATACCTATACCAACAAAGTAATTAGAATATAAAATAATGAACTAGAGGCTACACAGTTGATAACATCAAAGGAATGTCATTGAGAAGGTACAATTTCTTTGATAGAACATTAAATGCCTCAAGCAAACTTGCAACAAATAAATAAATAAATAAAATACAAGATCTTATAACAAATAATTTATCTCCGGGTTTTATACAAGCACAAGATTATTGTTTTTGGTGGTTTCTATGACACTCTCAGAGAAGTGAGGTTGTTGTTTCGGTCCTTATCAAACAATTTTAGGATTTCATTATTATGAACTCTTTTTCCCTTGTTAATTGTGTATGGGTTGTTGAATATTGCATGTTCTGTCCTAAACATATACAAGGGGTTTAATCCCATTATTTATTTTGGGTACTTTTGTGTGGTATAATTTTATGTTTTCTTTTTTCAAAATTTATATATATTTTACCTTGAAGTGGTTATGGCTTGTACTTGTTTAAGGTGTTGATGATTGCATGAGATATGTTTTTACTTAAACAAGCACATTCAAATGTTGAGCAAGAAAGTTTGCCAATTCCAAATCAGTGCTAGTTTATTTTTGTTGAGCAAGATACTAATTCTTGACATTTTTGAGGGTTCAGCAAGTTGGATCAACACATTCTTGGACAATGATTCAGGATTGAGCAGGGTAAGACATCTGCTGAGCCCATCTTCAAATCAAAAACTTTGTCTAGGGAGATGGTCTCAACTCCATTATGGAGTTGATTAGATGATACATATCAGAAATAGTAGTCACTAAATATAGGTGTTTTGAGGAAGGAGACCTCCTCTCCACTTTCTTATTCTTTCAAATAAGTTCTCTATTACTTATTTCAGGAAAGACATTAAGTACTTAATTAAAAACAAATGATTCTTTTTTCTTTTTTTTTTTCATGTAAAAAAATTGATTATTTGTGACCCATAATACTTAAATAAACTAAAGATTGAAACCGCACAGATGAAATTGATAATCTTGCTAGTTTGATTGTACACAGGAAAATTTACAGGATTTCAACAGTTTTGCATTAGAATTTTCTGTAGCTCAATGAGGCCTGAATAATGAAAACTGAACCAGATCTGAACCTTGTTTATAGTGGTTCATTTACTTTTCATAGAATAAAATAATTCAACTCTAGTCCAGATCCGAACCTTGTTTATAGTGGTTTATTTACTTGTCATGGAATCAAATAGTTAAACTCTATTGGTGTGATTGTATTTAGATTTTTGGTTTGCTGCAACATGTAATATTTGAAGGTTTCCATGTGCAGGTATTTCAATGATTTGCATGTCTTTGACCTGGATCAGTTTAAGGTGAACAGATTGGTCCCTCCCTATTCTATAAGTCTAAAATTATGAAGTTGATAGTGTAAGGTTCATACTAATCTACTAAAATTAATGCAATAATTGCAAAATCAAAAAAATAAAAAATAATAATTCCATAAAGTCTAAACAATTCCAAAATAATTCCATAAAGTCTAAACAATGGTGGGATAGGGTGAATCTCAAGATGAAGGAGAGAAAATTTTGGAATACGGTGCCACTAGTGATGCTGTTCAGTTCATGATTTTGTGATCAATTTGAATCAGGTGCTGCAACCGCTGAGGTGAAGGGTGTTACTGTGATTTTGTTGCTATTGTGTTACTGGTGTGGTTTGTTTACTGGGTGTAACCGCTGAGGTTAGAAGGTGTCTAGGTTACCAACAATAGGTTTGTAGGTTTGTCTATCCTATTGCCCAGACAATAGGTTTGTAGGTTTGTCTATCCTATTGCGTCCGACAACATATTCTATACCTTTATCATTGTTTGAGATTGTATTACATAGCTGTTGTTCTTTTGCTCTGGCAACATTAACTATGAACTACAAGTAAAAATGCCAACATCTTATTGGCAGTATAATTATTATTATTATTATTATTATTATTATTATTATTATTATTATTATTTTAAAGTTGAATCTGCTAGTAAGGCAAAACTACAGTGCAAAATGTTGAAATTTTTGGATTCTTACATTTGAAGAAATGCTCTCTTTCAAAGCCCTTTCAAATCTTTGATAAAGATGTGCTGAATAGTTAGAAGGATGATACTGAATATACATGAAATAAACACAGCTATACAGAGAGTGAAGGATGTACTTTCCATTGAAATCAAATGGCATCGAATATTCACATAGATTAACAGAAACAAGAGGGGGAAAATAAATATATATAATATAAAATAAAATAAAAAGAGCTAAGATCTAGATTCAATTCAATAAAAAAATTCAAATTGATTAGAGTGTTTTATTGTTGTTCCTTTAAATCTTGTCAAGGTCAGCTTGTTTTCTCTATTTAAATTGGGTGGGTTTCGTTAAGTTTCACCAACTTCATAATGGTCTTCTAATGCTCCTTTTATAACCATGTTTTGATCCTAATAATATATAAGTACTGTATTGTTCAATAACTATATACCAATTTTCTGTTAGATCAAAAATTATAATATTTTGGGTAGGGATTTAGCAAGATGAATAAAACAAGCTAATAGTGATGGACCCATTTGAACAGAACATTAAGGCATTAAGAAGATCAATCCTTTTTTTTATACAAGGATGGAAAATAGAGAGGAATGAAGGAGTTGAAATGTAACTACAGGAGAAGGACAGAATATCTTCTCAGGCTGTTTTGTCAAGCCAGTTACCATAAGAAAAGGAGAAGTACAAGTGTGTTGCTTGATTTTAGGACAAGAAGCAAAGGAGTTTACTTACCATTGTACCTTATAGTTCCCTTACTAGCTTTGAAGAAAATTACAATTTATAGCCACATCAGTTGGTGAGGTTTCACTGAAATTTTACAAAACTAAAATTGGAAATTTTAGTCTAGCTCCCTGCTTAAAGATTGGAATCAAAGCCTTCAAAAGTCCCCTTCAAACTTCCATAAATTTAAAACCAATATATATATATATATGACTAGTGAATTTAGGCACTCAACAGAACGGTGGATTTTAATTAGCTAAAAGATCCATAAATCCTGCCTCTCCCCAGTCCACTGTTTTATATAGGAACTATAGTAGATTATGCAGAAACGAGCTGAAACAAAGACATGAATTGCCAAAAAAACTTACCTTTCTTGTATTATCTATTATTAGAGAACATAAAATTATATCTGGTTATCATCAGCAAATTATTGTATGATAGTTCATACCCTTGTTTTTTTTGCCTGTGGCATTTTGATTTTGTTTCCTAATGATAGTGCAAGTTTGGAATACATTTAGAACTTAGCCAATATGCTTACATAATGTAACAATATTTTCGTTCCTGTTGAGTAATTCTAACTTTCATTAATTCTATTTGTATTAGTAGGTCCTTAGACTAAGAGCATCTTTAGTGCAGATGTTAAAATTGTTGTTTGAAATGTACATCTAAGTGTAAGTGACATGAGAGAGATTTTAAAACTGAATAATTATAGCACGTTACTAGGGGGAGACTTTAAACAACTAATTCCCAAGAACTTTCAAAATAAGGCATAACCTACCAAATAAGCAACACCTTGACAGCAAATCCGAAATTCAAGACACATCTATAAATCTAAATCCATATCCATGTCAACCAAAATAAAATGCATATATATATTAGTAAATAAAAGAGCAAAGATAAACAAATCTGGAGAGTAAATAAGAGAGCAAAGAGAAAGAGAAACTTATCAGTTACCAAAAAGAAAAAGAAAAAGAAAAAATCAGTAAGAATAACCCAATCATGTAGGCTCCTCCATCCTCTGTTAAACTTATCAAATACATATCCATACATATGCACGATGAAGGGTGCACACTGCATATATTATACTGAGAAATTCTGAAAATCAGTAAGAATTATTAACTATCACTAGTCACCTTTCTTTAATATTTTCATTGAAATGAGGTTCTGTGATCTTGTCTCAGCTCTCTGATATTATTTGTTTTACTGTTGAATGGCAGATTAAAAAGCTTGCGCTGATGATACAGAAGGTTAAGGACTTCTAAAATCTAAAACTAATTAATCACATTGTCTCTTACATCTTCAAAAACATCTCTTCTAGATTAATTATTATTTAACAGTTTTGAATTTCTTCTTCTGTACTTGCAGAGTAAGCACCTAGTAGTATTTACGGGTGCAAGAATATCAATATCTTGTGGGATACCTGATTTCCGAGGTCCTAAAGGAGTGTGGACACTTCAGGTGAAATCATGATTTCTATTATGGTTCTGTAATTTTTTGATCTGGAGAAGCCAATCTACAACCCTTGTCCTTGTCTTCTCTTCATCGCATTCTAGGATCATACATCTTATTGTGCATGTTATTTCTCACTTATGATTACAAGAGGATAAATACACAGACAGAGAAGAAAACTCTGCAAAATTTGTGATTCTACTACACCAACAGAAATACACACAAAAGGGACATAAAAACCAGAGGGCTCACCAGGAATTTCAAGAGATTTTTTATTTGAAAGACAAACTTCAATGGTGGTTTGAGTGAGTAACTTCAATTGTGGTTCAGAGCTATGATGAAGAAAATGAACGGCTTCGTTTCAGCAAGGAGAAGAGATTCAATCTTGTTGGGAAAGGCAATGGTGGTTCAGAGCTGAGATGAAGTATAGCGACCCCGGTCTTTTCCCAAGGAGAAGAGGT